CAGAGATTTCACTGTCTGCATGATTGTTTCTGGCTAGTGACTAATCAGGTTGAGAATTTGGAATCAATAAGTTAGCTCCAGGACCTGCAACTTTAGAGTCAGCAATGACAACCCCCATATTTCTGTCCTCAGAGCTTTGCTATAAAATGTGGGCAGCACAGTGGCTAAATGGTTAGCACTTACGCCTGGCAGTACTGGGGTCGTTGGTTCAAATCCCAGCCACAGCACCACCTGCCTGGAGTTTGCATGTTCTCCCTGTGCCTGCATGAGTTTCCTCCAGGTATTCATTTTCTCTGACACTCCTGTCTAAATTGTCCCTAGTATGTGTATGTATGAATGTAAGTTAGGGACCTTAGATTAGGGACTGATGTGAATGCACAATATATATGTAAATTGATGGCGCTATATAAGTACCTATAATATCGAAAACGCAGAATAGCTTAAAGTGGTTGTAGAGGTTTTCTTACGCTAATGCATTAACTGCATAAAGTGGTAGTAAACTTGTTAAAAAAAAAAAAAGTTTCCTGCTGCAAGGTTATATAATAATGTGCTAGTATGCATCGCATAGAAAGTATCGCATACTAGCACATTACGAAAGTCTTACCTTAGAACGAAGCCTTCCAGTGGCGTGCTGTCACCCCTGCAGAAGGCTTCCATCTTCACCTGGTCTTCTTCCTGGGTTCATGGGCTGCTTGAATGGTCATGTCACCAATGACGCCTATGCCATTCCTTCAGAGCACATGCGCCGGTATTGTCACCGACTGCTGCTCCATAGAATATCTCCTAAACGGTGAATGTTTAGGAGATATTCATTCTATCTACAGGTAAGCTTCATTCTCAGCTTACCTGTAGGTAAAAATATGCAAAGTGACTTTACTACCACTTTACGGTAAGAAATCTATTGTAAGCTCCACTCCCAGCCCCCCCAAATCTCAGCCCGATCACATCCAGTGCTGCTCCTGGGAGCAGCTGCATTGCTCTCTCTTCACTGCCATTGTCTCCTGCTCAATCAAATCCAGTGACAAGGGTGCAGAGGGTGGGGCTGAGCCAGACTGTGTGTGCTAATAGATGCACACAGTGCAGCTCAGGATCGAGCCAGCACAAGTGTACCCATAGCAAGTAGCTTGCTAGGGAGGCACTCTGAAGGCAGGAGGAGGCAGGGAGCCAGGAGTGCTGGCAGGGGACCCCAGAAGAGGAGAATCTGGGCTGCTTTGTTCAACACTGTTGCACAGAGCAGATAATTATAACATTTGCTGTGTAAAAAAAATCCTTTTAGTATCACTTTAAAGTACATCTACACCCAAGAACAAATATGCATCATATACTGCAGCTTGCCAGTCCTTAGGTCTGGTGGCTGTATTAGTTGTTTCCCCTGGCAATCCTACAAGTAACACACTTCAGGTCCTAGAGTATCAGTGCTCACCAACTGTACTGCATCTGTTATTATAGGACAGGAATGTGTTAGACCTACAGAACACCCCCACCCCTTATTTCTCCACAATATGGGAGGTATTCTGTGGTCCATAAAAAGAAATAGGCATGGCTTTTTGGCACTAACTGAATTGATATAACAGAATGCTTTCAATGGTATACTGTATTTAACAAACCAAAAGGAAGCAAATAAAGAGAAGTACATGGATAGTGATTAGATACACTTTAGAACAAATATACAACCCCTGGCAAAAAGTATGGAATCACCACTCTTGGAAAATGTTCATTCAATTGTTTAATTATGTAGAAAAGAAAAAGGAAATCACAGACACGCCTCGAAACTATTTTCATTTAACATTCCAACCTTCTGGCTTTACAAAGCCCGACTTTGAAATTGTGCGACTTACAGTGAAGTCGCACAATTTCAAAGTTGGGGGACATGAATATTTCAGGTGCGATTTGAAAGACATCTGACACAGATGTCTATGCAAACCGCACCAAAAGTAATGCATGCACTACTTTAGAAATCGGGCGGCTCTGACCAAGTCGGAACCGCACCGATATGACTGCTATAATTGCAGACAATAGGGTGTGACTTGGCATGTGATTTTCAAATTGCATGCCAAGTCGCACCCAGTGTGACCGGGGTCTTAAGAAACATAATAAAAAAGAAAGAAAACTAGTCAATTGCAACTGTTTTTGCACATCAAGCAAAGAAAAAAAATATATGAAATCACTCAATTCTGAGGAAAATATTACGAAATCATGAAAATAAACACTCCAGTACACCACTAGTACTTTGTTGCACCACCTCTGGCTTTTCTAACAGCTTGAATTCTCTGAGGCATGGATTTAACCATTGACAAACAGTATTCTTCATCAATCTGGCTCCAACTTTCTCTTATTGCAGTTGCCAGATCAGCTTTGCAGGTCGGATCAGATCCTTGTCATGGACCATTTTCTTTCATTTCCACCATAGATTTTCAATTGAATTGAGGTCCAAACTATCTGCAGGCCATGCCATTGACATTAGGGGGTTTATTTACTAAAGCTGGAGAGTCCAAAATCAGACTCCCTTCTGCATAGAAACCAATCAGCTTCCAGGTTTCATTGCCAAAGCTTCATTGAACAAGCTGAGGTTAGAAGCTGATTGGTTTTTATGCAGAAGGGAGTCTGATTTTGGACTCTCCAGCTTTAGTAAATAAACCCCTATATGTCTTTCTTGAAGGAAAGATTTCACAGCTTTTGCCCTATGGCAAGATGCATTATCATCCTGAAAAATGATGTAATTATCACCAAATATCCTTTCAATTGATGGAATAAGGAAAGTGTCCAAAATCTCAATATAAACTTGTGCATTTAATGAAGATTTAATGACTTTCAACTCCCGCGCAGCTTTACCTGACATGCAACCCCATATCATCATGACTGTGGAAATTTGCAAGTTTTCTTTAGGCAGTCGTATTTATACATTGGAACAGCACCAAACAAAAGTTCCAGCATCAACACCTTGTCCAATGCAGATTCGTGATCCATCACGAATATCACTTTCATCCAGTCATCCACAGTCCATGATTGCTTTTCTTCAGCCCACTGTAGCCTTGTGTTTTCGGGTTAGGGGTTAATGATGGTTTTTATTTGGCTTTTCTGTATGTAAATCTCATTTCCTTTAGGTGATGTCTTACAGTTCAGTCACAGACATTGACTCCAGTTTCTGCACATTTGTTACTCATTTGTTTTGTTGTGCATTTTCTGTTTTCAAGACATATTGCTTTACATTTTCTATATCTTGACGCTTTGATGTCTTCCTTGGTCTACCGGTACGCTTCCCTTTTACAACCTTTCCCATTTGATTTGTACTTGGACCAGATTTTAGACACAGCTGACTGGGAACAACTGTCTTTTGCAACATTTCCGTGATGATTTACATTCTTGAAGAATTTTTATAATCCTCTCCTTTGTTTCAACTGACATCTCTGGTGTTGGAGCCATGATTCGTGTCAATCAGCTTGGTGCAACAGCTCACCAAGGTGTGCAAGCACTCTTTTAACTGCAGACTAATTAACAGATGTAATCTGACGCAGATGTTTGTTTTAGAACTTCAAAGTACATGGTGATTCCATAATATTTTTCTCAGAATTGAGTTATTCCATATTTTTTTTCCTCTGCTTGATCTGCAAAATCAGTTGCAATTAGCCACAGTTTTCTTTCTTTTTTAGGAGTTTCTTAAAGCCAGAGGGTTGGAATGTTAAATTAAAATAGTTTTGAGGCATGTCTGTGATTGCGTCTACACAATTGAATGAACAATTTCCAAGAGTGGTGATTCCATACCTTTTGCCGGGGGTTGTATATGGCTGTAAAATCCTGCTGCTGGAGTTATCAAAAGACATAAAGAAGCCAACTCTGACTATAACTTTTGGGTGAATTGGACAATTTAGTTACTTATTGCTTTTGTGGAGACATATCATCATGGTCATGGAGGTGTTTTTCAGCTGCCAAACCTTTGGGAATGGTTGCAGAAGCTTAGCATCAAGGTAACAAGGTCAGTGATAACACAAAAACCTTCACATCACGACCCACCCATTCATATTAGGAACTGACTCTTCACATCAGAATTCCCTCAGTTCACATCAGAATCCCTCCTTCACATACCAGTGCTGCAGTATGGCACAGAGTGCTGGAGGAGGACTCCAAATGGGTTCTTTCTGCAATGGAAGTTTTGTTGTTCTGTCAATGATGGGGCAAGCGTTTTATTGGTTGGATGTTAGAAGACTGGGTGAGAGCCAGCTTCTACGGTATCAACCAACAATGAAGAAGCGGAAGGGGGCTACACAGGAGACTCTGAAAGCACAGACAGCGCCTGCTAACCTGAATCCTTAATGTGTGCAGTCAGTGAGTGCAAACTGGACCTCATCCACCTTGGGTCTCGTAACGCCACCTCTATGATTAAAGGATAAATTCATCTTTCTAAAAGAAAATAATAAATGCACTTTTTTTGCAGGTAAAAAAAATGTGCATTATTTAAAAAAAAAGCCTGTAAAGCATTGCACCAGTTATCAGCAGAAGGTGCAACCTCAGGCTCCTGCAGACAGTCAATGTATCTGTCTGCTTGTACCTCATACAGGCAGGCATTTATTGAATGACAGGAAAACTCAATGAACTACCAGAGAGCTCACTAGTGGCCTGGTAGTTCATTGAGAACTACAGGGCAACAGCCGCAAAGGCTTCAGTTCCGTGCCGCCTTCTTGGCTTACATCATCAGGAACTAGTTGTTTCTTCTGGGTTCTTGTAGCAGTGTGTTGCAGTAGACTGTCCTGAAGCCTCCAAGTATGATGTGAGTATTCCAGGAGGCTTTGGGCAGCTGGAGATGTCATTCTTGCTTAGATGAGAAAGGCGGAAGCAAGGGCAAACAAAACCTGTATCTGCAAGGGTGCAATATTCTTTAACCGCTTCCCAACTGCCCTATAGCAGAACTACTGCTACAGGGCTGCACAAAATCACATATATACACGTGATTTTGTATTTCTGGATAGGGGGCGCACGCCGCCATTGGCGGCTACAGCTGTCGATCACCAGGTCCCGGACAGAGATTCCCCACCGGCACCCAGCTATTGCCGAGGAACAATGACAGGGGAGAGGTCTGTATGTAAACAATACAGATCTCTCCCCTGTCAGCACCAGCATGCTGCTTTGTATTGCTCTGCACAGCAGAGCAATACAAAGCAGCATGCTTGCACAGTAAAACACACACAGCACAGTTTATAAAACATCACACAGTTAAGCCTTTGATCGCCCCATACGTTAACCCTGTCCTGCCCAGTGTCATTAGTACAGTGTCAGTGCTTTTTATTAGCACTGATCACTGTATTAGTGTCACTGGGGATATCAGTGGCAGTTAGTTCCCCCCCAGTGTCAGAATGCCCGCCGCAGTCCCGCTATAAGTCGCTTATTGCCGCCATTACCATATAAAAAAATAAAAAAAAATTCCAGTATACACCGCCATTTTTAAATGCTGTAACTTTCATGCAAACCAATTAATTTACACGTATTGGGATTTTCGTTTAGCAAAGACATGTAGCAGAATACATTTTGGCCTAAATTTGAGTAAATTAGATTTTTAAGTTTTTTTACTGGATATGTTTTATAGCAAAAAGTAAAAAAGTTTTTTTTTTTTTTTTTCAAAATGGTCGGTCTTTTTCTTTATAGAGCAAAAAATTAAAACCACAGAGGCGATCAAATACCACCATAAGAAAGCTCCATTTGTGGAAAAAAAGGACATAAATTTCATTTGGGTGCAGCGTTGCATGACCGTGCAATTGTCAGTTAAAGTAGCATAGTGCCGCATCGCAAAAAAAAATTGCCTGGTCAGGGAGGGCAAGAAAAAAGAAGAAAAAGGGAGTGAAACTCTGCTTTGAGCAAATGTGAAGTGCACGGGAGATCTCTATCTGCTGTACTTTGCCTTACCCCTGGTTCACATATCTGCGTTCCTGCAGTCCGCGTTTTGTGCAGGCACGAGAGCCCATGCATTTGAATGGACTCCCATGCCCCGGGACACGCAGGAAGAAGTCCCTGCACATCTGAAAATGCAGCCCACACGGGAACCTCGGTTCCCAGTACGGTTGCAATTTCCAGTGCGGGTGGCATGCCATTAGAATTAATGGCATCTGCCCGCGGGTCCGCATTCCTCTGTGTGGGTGGTGCGGCTGCACGGATTTTTGAGCGGATCCGCAGCGGCACCACTCACACATATGTGAACCTAGCCTTTTAGAGTACTACAAATAAATAAGTTTCACTTTTATCCAGAGTGTCACCATCCAGTGATTTTGTGAGATACATTTTTAGTAGCGTGCTGGATGAGCACCCAAAGTTTGTGTGGGCAAGAGTGGACCAAGCTGGAGCTGTACTGTGCCTAGCTCTAAGTACTGTCCTATCACTGTGGCTTGGCTACCCTTAAATTGCGTATCAGCGGATGTTTGGGGTATAGAGGGGGCGAGTCCCACTGATCAGCAGGGGGGAGGATTTACCGAAATCACTTCAAATACAGAACAGATCCATGCTCGTTTCCTGCACCAAGTTTAAAATAAGCTGCAGATCCGATCTGAAGTGGGTGTCAAGGTTAATGACACCCCAAATGTAGTGCGTTTGCCTGCACTAGATCGCATGGTACAAAAAGTAGCATGCAACCCTGTTGTAGTGTTTTTCCAAAAGTAGTTCTTGCACTACTTTGGTGCGATCTGAGCCCATTCAAAATAAATGGGCTCAAATCGCACCTCACTGAATTGCATGTGAATTGCACAGGAGTACGCTATGCATTCCTGTGTATTTCCAGTGCGATTCAGTGTGAATCTAGCCTTATAGTGCAAAAAAAAAAAAAACCCTTCCCAGCGCTCTGTGAAGCCTCTATTTTCATAAGGGTTGAAATAAAATACGCAACTACATGCTTATTCCACCCAACATCTGCTGGAATGCACAAACTATAATACAAGGAAACAATATTATGCACTGGCATGCATTCTTGTACCTCAGAAGAGGGATCTTTGGGAGATGTTTGAATTTCCAGTAATAGAACTGTGTACTGTGATGAAATATTCAGAATTACACAACCAGCTCAGTCATGTAGCAAGAAGGAAATGCTGAATCATCCCTCATCAGCAGTCCACAATGAATCAGCAGCCTTGGCTGAACTCAGCACGGATCTGCGAGAAGTCAGATGACAACCCGTGCTGTGTGTAGCGTATTGTTCTCAGTTCACCTCCGTCTGTTCCTTTTTAAAGTACTAGAATACATCACAAATATTATACATATAATTCAGATCTGCAATAAGCCTGATTTAGAGAGAATGATAAGATTAGACTGTAAGTGTAAAATAAGCCCCACTGATTGCCCCATCTCAATGCATAGAATGCACGTTACCACAATCCAAAGATGTAAATTGGTCCTCTTGGTTTACATGTGTCCTGCAAATACCCAGATAAACGAGGCTGACCATATTGTGTTAGGCTGGCCAAAGGCAGCTCAAATTTTGACTGACTCCTGCTAAAAATCGATCCAAGGGTGACCCTGCAAACACCACCTGACTCAATGAAAATTGATTTCTAAATCGACAGAGCGGGGTGGAAAATTGTTGGCCGAACAGTGTCTGCATCCTATTAAAGCTGAATTCAGCTACTTTGTAAAAACTGCAAGCATGCCATGAGGTGAGTCTAAAGACGTACCTGTCACCTTGTGGACTTATCTCTATAGGCCCCGTTCACATAATCGAGCACTCCAGCTACCTGATTTTCAAACTGCAATTGTCATTCAATTCTGAGTGTCACATAGGGCCAGGCCATTCACTTGAATGGGCTGCCCAATGCATGCTTGTCACCGGAAAAGAAGCTCCTGATCCTTTTGGGGCGACAAGCTTCATGTGATTTCCAAAGGCACGGTTTGCCGTGATTGCTGCGCGACAATCGTGGCAGAATCACATTGCATTTGGGGTGCCTTCAAGGATAATGGCACCCAAACGTATGTTGCGCAGTGATATGGAATCATGGTGATTCTGTTCATGATCCCAAACTGCAAGATGTGAACGGGGCCTAAGCCCCTGGTCACATCGGATGTAATTTGGCATGAAATTTGCATTCCAGGCAACTTGCAAATAGCATGCCAAGTCGCACCCTATTATCCATAATTACAGCGGTCAAATTAGTCAGAGCTGCACCAATTTCTTTTTTGTTTACAAATGGTTTTATTGTACAAATGTAGACTGTAAAACAACAGTACATTTTCAAATGATACTTACAGCAAAAACAAGGCACTTTTGAAAAGTACAATACAGAAAAGTATATTAATGAAAGAAAGAGAATAGAAAAGAGTAGGTTGCAAGTACATGAAATATGTAGATGATTTCATAGTGTGCTTGCACTTTTTGCAAAGCTGCTGCATTCCTGGAATTCAGCTTTAATGCAATCACTGTGCAGCAACGCCATTGTATTCAGGCAGCCATGGCTGCTAAATGGAATAGCCAGCAGTAGAGATTCCCCCATTCATGCTGTTAAAGCTAGCCATACAGGGCAGTTTTTTTGCTTGGCCAGTGGGCTGAGTGGGGGAAAAAAATTAATCCATTCATCAAATTAATCATACGGGCCCCCCCAATACAGGGAGCACGCCACACCCTGTTATATACAGAACCCGCCATACTGCCCCCCAATACAGGGACCACGCCGCACCCCGTTGCATACGGAACCCGCCATACTGCCCCCCAATACAGGGACCACACCGCACCCCGTTGCATACGGAACCCGCCATACTGCCCCCCGATACAGGGACCACGCCGCACCCCGTTGCATACGGAACCCGCCATACTGCCCCCCAATACAGGGACCACGCCGCTGCATACGGAACCCGCCATACTGCCCCCCAATACAGGGACCACGCCGCACCCCGTTACATACAGAACCCACCTTACTGCCCCCCAATACAGGGACCACGCCGCACCCCGTTGCATACGGAACCGGCCATACTGCCCCCAATACAGGGACCACGCCGCACCCCGTTGCATACGGAACCCGCCATACTGCCCCCAAATACAGGAACCACGCCGCACCCCGTTGCATACGGAACACGCCATACTGCCCCCCAATACAGGGACCACGCCGCACCCCGTTACATACGGAACCCACCTTACTGCCCCCCAATACAGGGACCACGCCGCACCCCATTACATACATAACCCACCTTACTGCCCCCCAATACAGGGACCACGCCGCACCCCATTACATACCTAACCCACCTTACTGCCCCCCCAATACAGAGAGCACGCCGCACCCCATTACATACCTAACCCACCTTACTGCCCCCCAATACAGAGAGCACGCCCCATACCACGCCCCATACCGCCCCCCCCCCCCCTCCTCGTATCGCTGTGTACACAGACAGAACTCCAGCTGGAAACTTTCTTTCCCGGAACTTCTGTGCGGAGTGTGTGAGCACTGAGAACCCCGCCCCCCTCTCCATCTCCGCCGTCACTTCCGGGTCCTTCTGCTGGTTGGGAACTCCATATTACTCCGGAGTCCGGACCGATGAGATCTGAGTATTGTAAGTGTGGGGGGGAGGAGGACGATCGGGAGCCGTGATTGGGTGGTACACATTACATACATGCCTGTGTGCTGTATATAGGGGGGTGTACGGGTCATATACATACATGTCTGTATGCTGAGGGTGTATGGGTCATGTACACGTCTATGTGCTGTATACTGGGGTGTACGGGTCCTGTACATGTCTGTGCTGTATACTGGGGTGTACGGGTCCTGTACATGTCCGTGTGCTGTATACTGGGGTGTATGGGTCCTGTACATGTCCGTGTGTGCTGTATACTGGGGTGTACGGGTCATGTACGTGTCCGTGTGCTGTATACTGTGGCGTGCGGGTCCTGTACATGTCCGTGTGCTGTATACTGGGGTGTATGGGTCCTGTACATGTCCGTGTGCTGTATACTGGGGTGTATGGGTCCTGTACATGTCTGTGCTGTATACTGGGGTGTACGGGTCCTGTACATGTCCGTGTGCTGTATACTGGGGGGGTGTATGGGTCCTGTACATGTCCGTGTGCTGTATACTGGGGTGTATGGGTCCTGTACATGTCTGTGCTGTATACTGGGGTGTACGGGTCCTGTACATGTCCGTGTGCTGTATACTGGGGTGTATGGGTCCTATATATGTCCGTGCGCTGTATATTGGGGCGTACAGGTCCTACACATGTCCGTGTGCTGTATACTGGGGCGTACGGGTCCTACACATGTCCGTGTGCTGTATACTGGGACGTACGGGTCATACACGTCCGTGTGCTGTATACTGGGACGTACGGGTCATACACATGTCCGTGTGCTGTATACTGGGGCGTACGGGTCATACACATGTCCGTGTGCTGTATACTGGGGCGTACGGGTCCTATACATGTC